ACAGACAGATGTGGCTTTCAACACTTTGGCCTCCTGTGGCGCAGAAAGCAGTTCCTGGACGAGTCCGGATACGTCTGGCTTACTCACTTTCATAATTATTTACCTATAAGTTCAAGTTCAACTGCTATAATCAACAGATGCTGCCAGGTTAACCTCTGTGATAGTTGTTTCTACGGTGCACTATGGTGAACACGGATGATAAAGATGAGAATGATCGAGGAAAAGATACTGGCAAAAACTTGGGAGGTGGAGAGTCGATTGACAGAGGATAGGGGGAGGCAACAACAGGGGAGCTGGAAGAGGTTGGTGAGGTGCAAGGCCGCCGCAGAGAAAAGAATGAAAATCATAGTAAAGGAGAAAACCTGCTGGTTAAACACTCTGTTAGTAGACAGCGGGTAGTTAGAAGAACGATTGGCCAAATTAGACTAGGTGCCCTTCAACTCATCGCTGCCCCATTTTTCTGTTGCCCTTTCTTTATTGCATACTGTAGCTAGTTAGTTCAGGCTCTTCTTGCCTATGCGACACTTAGGAGCCTTCTTGTTCCCAGGAACCACATCATCCACTCTCGGGAAGGCCAGTAGATCCTCTCAAGAGCCGATCCTACGGTCCCAGGAGTCACTCTCATCTCCCTCCCAGGAACACTATACACTCCCAGAACTGCTAGATTCGAAGTCTAGGGGCGTCCAGTGTGTCGTACCTCAAAAGGGTGCCAGATAGGAGAAAGGGGAGGCCAGCACTCATGGTGATTCCTTGGAAAAATACTCCAACAGGCTGATAACTATAATATGATGAACATAAGCCACCTACAAGACGTAGCAATTAGACGCCAGTCGTACCGGTCGCAACTGTCGTCTTCGCTACAAATTCCCTTCTCCCCTCCTTCGACAGGTCGATTGTCGACTACAGTTCTCCAGATTATAAATCGCTCTTCATGCAGGCAGAAGAGAGACAGAAACAGATTGCGGAGGAAGGGTGATGGAAAGAGAGCGTAACTGATAGACTTTTGGAGAATGCAGATGACAGAGCGGTGTACATTTTGCCAGCCGGGGGAGGCGGCGCATTGGACCCTGTCCGTGCGTGGTGATCGTGCAGCATTAGAATGCGGTTCTTGATTTGCAGTTGAGGAACAAGTGGTTAGATGCGAAGATGTCTGCATGAGAATTTGACACCACATACCACGAAGACGCTGTGTCTGCTCGATATTGAGACCGGACCACCTGCCACAACCCCACGGGACAGCTTGAAGCGAGTCCGAGATCGCCTCAAATCCCGAGCTTTCCACGACTGTTCCCTCTACCGATGAAGAGTCCAGGAACACAATATGCCAAGTGCAAAAAAAGGGCCGACGGCCGCAGCTCGGCCACGCAGAGATGTGCTGGCTTCCCTGCGCATGGCGTCAATGGAAGACATCTCCAGAGCTGCTCTTCCGGCAGGTACGTGAGATGAAGACATATCGTGGCAGGGGAAACCAATGCTGACAGGAGGACAAACAGAGATCGTATCCACTATCCTCGACTACGTCGGCCCCGTTGATCTGATCCGAGCAGCACGGTCCTGCAAGCTTATGCACGAGATGGCGTATGATGACACTCGATGGGTACACAAATTGAAACGAATCGGCTGCTGGGATGAAGCAGATGCTAGAAAACATGCCGAAGCAGTATTTGGGACAGTCGCCAACATGGAGGCCGTCGAGCAGCAAGAGGAGGCTGAGCTGGGCGATGGACCAGTCCCTGCGATCACTGTTAGCGATGACCCTTCCAATGACCTGAAAGGAATATCCGATGGATTCGATAAGATTGAATTAGTGAACACGGCATCGCAGCCCGATATTTTCCAGGATCTTCTGGATGAACCCGTCCTGACGGTGTTGAAACAGGTCAGGTCAATCCGGGGCGAGGCGCGTCAGGAATACGGCAAAATACATGCTGCACTAGCACCGTTTTATGAGGACATCGCGCAATCTGGACCATCGTCTGAAAACTTGGTTTTCACGAAATACAAAGATGCCCAGGCCCAAGCGCAGATACTGTCACAGTTGCTAATGTTCTCCAAATCTGATATGACGCAAGGATGGGACGAGCGGGTGGACCGTTTAGAGCGTACAGTGTCGATGTTTGAGACTGCTGCGCTGAAGGAGTTTCGTCAAGGGTATGAAACAGACGACATTGACGGGACCATGCGGAAGTACGCACACATTCTATGGACACTCAACGGTGGGCAAGCTGCCGTGGACCTTTTTATCCATCACAATCACCTGATGACTCGGAAGCTCGACCTAGGAAGCGTCGCTTCCTGCATTGACCGTTCGACCGGCCAGGTCAAAATGGAGCAGACACAGGCTTTTTTCACACGTCTCAGTGTCGCCTTCAACGATGAAATCTCCATTATGAACCGCGTCTTTCCCCCGGCCTTGGATGTCTCATCGACCTTTATGACAAAGGTTGGCCAAGATGTATTGTATCCTTTCCTCACGGCAATATTTGATGAGCTGCATCGCGTCAGCATCGAGTCATATCTCACTGCAATCTCGACGACTTTTGTCCAATGCATGAACCTCTCGGAGGCTCTGCTTCCCATACGAGGCTCTGATACTAAATTCGACGAGTATCTTGATAATGTCGTGATCAAGATCTACGAGCCACACCTCGATCTGTATTTAGCAGAAGAGCTTGATTTTTTCAAGACGGCCTGTGAATCCACAGTGAATGAGTGGGACCGGCATCTCTCTGAGCAAGCGGCCTCGACAGAGTCCTTTTTGATGTCAAATGTTAATCGCCAAGCCGACAAACGGGACTTCCTTACTTCTTTCAAGAAGGTGATCATGATGCCGGTAAACATCCTACCGAGCTTTTCAAATGCCAAATCAAACGAAGAAGTCAAATCAGACACGGAAACAAACAGTCCAAATCCGTTCCAACCACCCAAAAATACCAATCGATTTTCGACAATATCGTCGCCTGCCCCAGTGGCCGTCGAGGAAGTTCCAACTACAGAGCTGGCAGCAAAAGCGGCCATTATGAAGACGAAGATGGAGGGTATCCGCTCATTGTTTAGTATCGAAATTGCACTTGATCTAGTTCATTCCGCCAAGTCCAGCTTGGAGAGGGCCGCTCAATTTGTGCGACTTGGCGGCGAATTTGGTCTTGCAGCGAAGCGACAATGCGAGGCAATCTTCGTAGCGCTGCTACGTATATTGGGACACCAGCACGTTATCGTTGGATTCGATAAGGCTGTCAGTCATCTATCCAACTACCGGCCCCGCGAACAAGGGGACCGCGACCAATCCGGGGTCGAGCCCCTGGTCACTTTCTTGGAACTGGTCAATGTCGGCGATTTGATCCTGCAAATGATGGATGTATTTTATGAGCAGGAGTTGATCGGCATGAGATTGACTGATAGAAACGACTTTTTGGATCCCGCCAATAAAGAAAAGAAAAAATTCGAACAGATGCTCGACGAACGTGTCGCAGCTGGCCTGAACAAGGGAATTGACGTTCTCATGGAGGAGGTGGACTATATTTTGGCAACTCGACAACTAGCCACCGATTTCAACCCCGGCGTTTCCTCAGATCCACACCGGCAGACCATGGACGTAGGCGTTAGCGAAGTCGCCGTCGCCGTCGTCGACGTGGTCTCATCGCACACGCAGATGCTTGTCGGGAGCACAGACAAGAGCACCTTAGATGTGTTCAATCAAGAAGTCGGGCTCCGCCTATTTACTGCTCTATGTAAACACCTCAAGCGACAGCGCATCAGCGTGGAGGGATCACTCAAGTTGATCAGGTATGTACCTCCATCTTCAGTCGCGCAAAACGGCAAGCTGACTTGACTTCATAGTGACATGAACCACTATTTCAAGTATATCCAAACATTGAGAAACAATGAGCTCCTTCTCTATTTCACGGCATTCCGTGAGCTCGTGCAGATTTACCTGATCGATCCTGGCCACGCCAAGGAACTGGCGACTGTCATCGCAGATGCGGATCGGTTCCATGGGATTTGGCGTGTGGAGGAGGTCTATGAATTTGCTGAGCGCCGGGCTGACTGGTATCACGTCAAGCGGGACGTGGAACGAGCTATGTATGGAATTGGTTGCAATGTGATGTAAATGGATACCGATACCCCCGGGAATTGCATAGCGAGTGGCGTATAGGTACCTACAACGCGGACATGCATGTCAGCACGGACTGTTCTCCTAGCGAGAGTAGACTGAGTATATAAACAGCGATTGATGTACAAATAATGCTAGATATTTGCTTTCAATCCAAGAATTTGATCCTTAAGAGGTAAAGAAATTGAACGTCGATGTCTCCAATTCATAGTTCCAGGGAGACGAAACTCGATAGTCTAGCTGCACAGAGAAAATAAAGACAATGGAATATAATACGACATATCAAATCTCAAATCTCAAATCTCAAATTGGATACGATGCAACCCCGGAGCCCTGAGAGTCTGACGTCAACGGCGGCTGCTGGAACACCACTGCAGCGTCTGAAACGGACATGAAGAAAAGTGACTGTCCAATCCAACACCCTGCCCGGTTGCATTCTAAAACAAAAGAATTTCAAAATGTCTTTGACTTTTCGCTTTATTTCTAGTTCCCCAGGAATTTTTATCTTTCAGGTGTTGAGTACGTCTCTCGAGCTCTGCGAAGAAGATTATCTGACAGAATTTCTAGATACCTGCATTGTGTCAGCTTCCCTGAGAACACAATATACACAATAAAAGGCCGTGGCTGCCTAAGAAAATAGACAATACACGATCATTGCATCACCAGACACTTCTATTCAAGGGACGTCGTCACGGCTTAGGGCCGCGTCCTAAACCGGATCGGAGCCTTGCGCTACAAACATACGACTATTGATCCAACGACCACAAGCAAAACAGGAAAAAGAAAAGAGAAAAAAAAAGCATCCCATGTCATGCACTAGCAAACTACAATTACGACCACCACCTGTCTCCAGCTTCAGGTCAGAAAAGAGCTCCAATCCATCAAAATGGACCGAAACAATCACACTAAGACCACACGATGGCTGGCCATCCTTATGCTCCTCGTCATGCAAATACTAAACGCAAACGCCGACGTAGTAACCGTCTGGACTACGGTAAAAGTGCCCGCACCAACACCAACAGCGCCCCTACATCCATCCTACACATCCCCCGACGAGTTCAAGAACGTTATGTTGAAAGTCACGAACGAGTACCGCGTCAACCACGACGCCAATCCACTGAAATGGAACGACACGCTGGCCGATTATTCGCGGGAGTGGGCAGAAGCCTGTGTCTGGAAACATTCGGTATGTATCAGTATCTCCAATACCACGAAATAATAACGCTAACATCAAAGCAGAAAAGTAGCTACGGCGAGAACCTCGCATTCGGATACGAGAATGTCTCCGCTGCTGTCATTGCCTGGGGTAATGAAGGCGATATGTATAATTTCGGCAAACCGACAGGCTTCACCGAGGAGACGGGGCATTTCACTCAGTTGGTCTGGAAATCGACTACGCAGGTTGGGTGTGCTGCTTTCAACTGTGGGTATGCGAAGAACGACAATTTCAAAAGAGATAACGGGGTTGAAGTGCGAGAGGATGTCTTCGAAGCAGTGGTGATGGCGCCTCGTCCCAGCAGGGATGAAACCGGGGGAGATGGCTTGGAAGGGTTGAAGGTCGCGCGAAGTGAGCCGCGGGCTCAGGGGTGGTATGTTGTTTGCGAGTATACGCCTCCTGGAAATGTTGTTGGTTCGCAGGATTCCTACTTCAGGAAGAACGTCTTGCCAAAGAAGGCGCCTGTCGTTGACTCGTCCTCGTCTTCAACCAAGTCTTCTTCATCCACGAGTTCTGAGTCTGCTTCCATGTCTACGCCTGAGCCGTCGCCGAATGCCGCGACATCCACTACCATCGGGAGTCAGAGTCAGCCCACAGGAGGTGCTATGAGGTTTGCGTTGGACTCGACGTTGGGGATGATGTTGGTAGGCTTGGGAACTGTGGGGGTTGGAAGGGGGCTTTATACTTGAGACGGCGTACTTTAGATGACTTAAATAAGAAATACAAGGTTGAACTTTGCTAGGAACTGGTTTCGTAGCCATCTCTCATGCTTATCCACATTGCACATTTGGTCGGGAGGCGCACCGCTCGATCTATTGATTTTTGGAATGTCCCGATCCTCACTGGGCTTGCCCAGGGGACCTAAAAGAAACACAAGGGGACAGAAGGCTGGGTTCAGGCACAAGCGCGAAACGCCAGCAGAGAAACAGGGGGAAAAGAGGAACAAAAGGAAACACATTATTTGCGAAAATAGAACAGACAGATTCATCAGCCAATGACCTCCTCGGTCTCCTCGATAATCTCCTCCACAATCTCCTCGACTACGGAGTCGCCCTGGTCTTCGACAACCGGGCGCGCGTCGCTGGCGGCCGCGGGTGAATCTGCGTTCTCGGGGAGGCTGAAAGCCTCCTTCTCTTCGGCCAAGAGCTCCTTCTCCCGACGGAGCCAGGCGAGCCACTCGCTGAGTACACGCTTGCGTGTCTCGACAACGGCGGTGTTGGCGATGTCGACAGCGTACTTGTCTTCCTCTTCGAACTCCTTTGAGTACTCGCGGAGGTTCTTGCGCACTTGCTTCTGCTCCTCTTTGCTGAGAAGAGTGGCTGGGCGTGGGCGCCAAAGGAACTGCTTGAACTTTTCGGTGGGGTTCTCGGAGAGGGTAGTACCGGAGAAGGTGTGCATGTTCCAGCCGTTCTCCATCTATAGTGCGGTCAATATTATGAATAATAATCAAACATAGAAGCAGGTTGAGTCTTACCGAGTGAGTCCACACACTGGCGCTACTGACAACGTAACGACCGGTGGAGTCCCAGTCAACATCGGTGACACCGTAGTGCTCGACGGTCTTCATCAGCTGGAGGTTGGCTGCGAGATCCTTCTCAGCCTCGATCTTCTCGCCCTCGAAGTCCATATCCCAGAAGTCCAGATCGAAGTTGGTCTGGGAGTGAACAGTGGCGACAATAACGAATCGGCCCTTGGGCGACCAGTAGATGCCGTTGCTGGTCTTCTTCTCAATAGTGCGCACCAGCTTGAAGTTACCGGCGGTGTGGCCCTTCTTCTCAGGCGCGAAGAATGAGACAGAAGTCTTAGGGAGAACGGCGGCACCAGTTGGTGTCTCGCCGTTGGCGATAACGACGAATCGGGATCCATTGGGCTCCCAGGCAAAGTTAATCACAGTATCCTTGAGGCTGTCAACAACCTCAACAGGCACACCCTTCTCGCGAACGCGGAAGATCTCCAAGTTAGTGGCCATAGACTTCTTCGACTTGGAGTGACGGTCGACCTTGACGCAGACGTAGGCACCCTGTGATTGCCAGTGCAGCTTGACATCAGAAACGTTGAACAGATTACGGGTTCGGACGATCTCCTTTGAGGGCACGCTCATCATACCGACGCGGGCGGGGTTGCTGCCGATTTCAGGAGTCCAGAAGCAGAGTAATTGCTCGTACTGCTTGACACCTTCGCGGGCGACGGTGGCAGGGGACCACTCGAAGTCCATAGCACCCTCAATCTTCACGGAAGTGCGACCAAGAAGGTTCATGTTGGGAAGCTCGTAGATAGAGAGAGATTGGCCCTGGAGCATGCGAGCAACGTACTTCTCATCCGCGGACCACTTGAAGGCAGGCCACTGCACCTTCTTCTTAGGTGCAACATCGCCCTCGATCTCGGTAGGGGCAGCCAAGTCGTGCGACACAAACGAACGGAGAGGCTTGCCAGTCTCGATATCCCAGACAATGATGTTCTTGCCATCCTCCTCGTAGGTCAATATGGGTTGGCCTTCCTCGACCTGGATGGGCCGTGCTGACCAAGTTGTCAAGTAGCCCTCAAGCGGGGAGAACTCGATCAACTGCACGAATGGGTGAGGGAACTGCTTTTGCTTGGAGAAGGACTCGCCGCCCCAGAGCTGGACACCCTGGGGGTGGACGGAGGCAAGGAAGGTACCCTTGGGGGACCATTGAACGAAAAGTTGTGTCCAGTGAGCGCGATCCACGACATTCTCTGGTGGGTTCGTCTTGTTGTTCCAGAACACACCGACCTTGTCGTTGCGGTAAAGGGCGAATTGATCCCGGGCGTTGGCATCTCCCATCCACGAGCGCAGGTGCTCCTTCTCCTTGAACGGTTCTGGGACGGGTGGCTTGTATTCTTCCTCGACCCGACCTTCGCGACCATAACGCTCGATATCCATCAACTTGTTGACGGCCATAATGTGCTTCTTATCGAGAGGGACGCCGTGCAACTGCTTGACGGCGGCAACTGCCATTTCTGGGGTTTCATATTCCACAAAGGCGAACCTATATCCTCCCAATGAAAGTTAGAGATCGTCCAACATTCCTCCACATCTCATTGGATATCCAATACGCACCCTTCGGTCATCTTCTTGTCGTTAACGGGCATGAAAACCGCATCTTCGGAGGTGCTGCCGACGGAGTTGAGTTTTCTCAATAAGAACTTGACGAGTTTTTGCCGGCTATCTTCGGGCACAACGGGGAGGCCATCGATGACGATAAATGTATCTAGTCCCTCCTCGACCTTCACTTCGTATTGCTCCTTGAGATCTGTGGACCAACGTGTTAGAGAGAGGGGCACGCAGACCACGAGAAATCTTGCACTCACCGGAGAAATCAATCTCCTCCTCCTCTTCCTCGTGGAGATCCTGCTCAGACAGGGTGTCGAAACTGGGCGCCATGATGGGTATACCGAAGGCGTCTAGAGGCTTCGGAGCAAAGATAGATCGGTGCAATCCGCTGATGGATTTTCGGGCAGAAACAAATCGCGGCGGCCAAGCGGGTTCTTTGTGTGGACTGACTCAGCACTTAGTCAGCACTCTCTACTGATGTCTCAGGTGTAAACCAGCACGTGACTGAGTCGCATCTGCTTAGTCACGATTTCCCCAGCTTGAGGTCGGGCCCGTAAATCATCATAGACGTTTCTAGAGGCTCTCAATTTGGATAACATTTCTTTTAGACTGCATATCTTGCACCAAGCTCTTTGTCGGACCAGGTCTTTGTCTATTATCTCATCCATAACCCCCCCCGTTTCTGCACTTATTTCGCCTGGCCTTTCTCTGTCTCCAATGCCCCGCCGGTCTTAAGCGCCAGTGCGACTTGAGTATAGCCCACCTGACAGCTCCGAGCTTCCTCGGCCAACATACTCCTCTACAAACCCCGCTATATCCTCAATTGCGAACTATAAATCTCCACTCAGCTCATACGTCTGAACATAAGCAGCCAATCTACGTGATCAACTAGCAACAAGATGTCGTGTAAGCTACCTCGGTGTTGCCCCGGGGCCAATTTGCCGGTTCTCCAAAAAGCCTCCAGACTGATCGATTATCTTGCGCGATAGTGACCTCTGACTTGCGCGACAAATATATCGACATAATTGACGACATTCTGGCCAAAAGCGACCTAACTACCATCTCCGAGAAGCGAATTCGCAAGGGTCTCCAGGATGCCGTCGGCTATGATCTCACCCCAATGAAGGTCAGTCAAGTTAGCAAATTTATAGCGCATTATTATTTCAAGGCTATCCAGGATGACTGGGGAAGGAACGTGGCTGATGTTCGCAAAGTCTACGATCAAGCAGCTGATCATGGAACGATTCGATCGTTACGCCGAACAAAACGGCGTGGGCGGTTCGCCAGATGAAATTGCCCCAAGCAATGATCAGCGCGATGGTGATTCAGGTTCAGCTGCGGTGCCCTCCCCGCCTCCCTCCACATCTCCAGTGAAGCGCCAGGTCTCCAGCGATGCCACTTCCGAGCCCGCGAGCGCATCGCCTCCTGCAAAGAAACACAAGCCCGATACTGATACCGATGCGGATGCGGCGTTCGCGGCCAAGCTGCAAGCCGAAGAGAATTCGCGCGCGCGACCCACCCGTGGGGGCAACACTCGGCGTGCAGCTCCCGTGAAGAAGAAGAGCAAAGCAAAGACCTCGAAAAGGGTCAGGGCAGAAGACGATTCAGACATCGGCTCAGGCGAAGAGCCAAAGAAGGAGGTCAACCGAAATACTGGTTTCCACG